AATTGGGAAAATTGGGGAAAATGGGGGAAATTGGGGAAAATTGGGGAAAATGGGGGAAATTGGGGAAAATTGGGGAAAATATTTGGGATCAGGACCCTCGGGATATTTGGGATCAGGACCCTCCCCTGAGGAATATTTGGGATCAGGTAACCCCCCCCTCCCCCTTTTCCCTTCCGGAACATTCCGGACTCACCGGGATTGGTCACTTGAGCGGCGGCTCCGCCCTTGGGATTCTCCGCCCGGCACCAGAAGGGCATCCTGGATTTCCCCTCCTCCAGCGGCGCCTCCAGGCGGGAAGCGGCCAGGAACAGCAGGGCGGAGTCTCTGGAGGCCACGCCCACCCCGGTGGCCACGCCCACTCCGGAGTTAGCCCCGCCCAGCGTGCGGTTCTGCCCGTCGCTCCAGCGCCAGCGCAGCGGGGCGGGCGGGGTCCCCCCCACCGCCAGGCAGCCCACCGAGAAAAGGGGCTGGGGGCCGCAGGGGGACAGCGGGAACACTCTGGGGGGGCCGCCCTGAGCTGGGGGGGCAAAAAAAACCGGGGAAAAAAGGACGAAATTTGGGTCAGAAACGGCCGTTTTTACCGATTTTTGCGTTTCTTTGGCGCGAAAGTTCACTTTTTTGACAGCGTTTTTTTTTGGGGGGGTTTAAGGGGTTTTGGGGGTGGTTCGGGGTCGATATTTCTCTTCCCCTCCCCCCCCTTTTAGGGGGAAATTTTTCTCACGTTTTCGAAGAAATTTTTGGGGTGAAAATCGGAGTTTTTGGGGAAAATTTGGTTTGGCAGATTTGGGGGAAAATCGAGGGGTTTCGGGTTTCTTGGGGGGATTGGGTTGGTTTGGGGGGTTTAGGGACCACCCGACCTGTTTTGGGGTCAAAACTCACCATTTTAGGGCGATTTTTGGGGTGAAAATTGGCATTTTTTACATTTTTTGTGGAATTTCACAATTTTGGCCGATTCGGGCAAAAATCGACGGTTTGGGGAAAATTCTCCATTTTTGGGGGGATTCGGTTGGTTTTGAGGATTTAGGCCCCACCCACATTTTTTGGGGGTCAAAACTCACCATTTCAGGGCGATTTTTTGAGGGTGAAAATTGACATTTTTTACATTTTTAGTGGAATTTCACAATTTTTGCCGATTTGGGCGAAAATCGACGGTTTTGGAGGAAATTTGGGGGGTTTTGGGGGGATTCAGTTGGTTTTGAGAATTTAGATCCCACCCACGTTTTTTGGGGTCAAAACTCACCATTTCAGGGCGATTTTTGGGGTGAAAATTGGCATTTTTACATTTTTAGTGGAATTTGACGATTTTTGCCGATTCGGGCGAAAATCGACGGTTTTGGGGGAAATTTGGGGGTTTTTGGGGGGATTCAGTTGGTTTTTGGGGTTTACATCCCACCCACATTTTTTTGGGGTCAAAACTCACCAGTTTAGGGCAATTTTTGGGGTGAAAATTGTCATTTTTTACATTTTTAATGGAATTTGATGATTTTGGCCGATTCGGGCGAAAATCGACGGTTTTTGGGAAAATTCTCTGTTTTTGGGGGGATTCGGTTGGTTTTGAGGGTTTAGGTCCCACCCACATTTTTTTGGGGTCAAAACTCACCAGTTTAGGGCGATTTTTGGGGTGAAAATTGACATTTTTTACATTTTTAATGGAATTTCACCATTTTTGCCAATTCAGGCAAAAATCGACGGTTTTGGGGAAAATTTGGGGTTTTTTGGGGGGATTCAGATGGTTTTTGGGGTTTACATCCCACCCACATTTTTTTGGGCTCAAAACTCACCAGTTTAGGGCAATTTTTGGGGTGAAAATTGGCATTTTTACATTTTTAGTGGAATTTGACAATTTTTGCCGATTCGGGCAAAAATCGATGGTTTTGGGAAAATTCTCCATTTTTGGGGGGATTCGGTTGGTTTTGGGGTTTTAGGCCCCACCCACATTTTTTTGGGGTCAAAACTCACCATTTCAGGGCGATTTTTTGGGGTGAAAATTGGCATTTTTTACATTTTTTGTGGAATTTCACAATTTTGGCCGATTCGGGCAAAAATCGACGGTTTTTGGGAAAATTCTCTGTTTTTGAGGGGAATTGGGTGGTTTTGGGGGGTCTCAGCCCCACCCACATTTTTTTTGGGTCGAAACTCCCCGTTTTTGAGAATTCTGCGATTTTTTGGGGGTGAATTTTTGGGGTTTTGGCGAATTTGGGCCAAAATCAACGATTTTTGGGGGGGGAAAAATTTCACTTTTTTTGGGGGAAAATTTGGGAGGTTTAAACCAGTACGGGCCAGTACAGACCAGTATGACCAGTACTGACCAGTACAGACCAGTACAGACCAGTATGACCAGTAGAAACCAGTACAGGCCAGTACAAACCAGTATAACCAGTACAGACCAGTATAAACCAGTACAGACCAGTACTGACCAGTACTGACCAGTACGGACCAGTACAGCCCAGTACTGACCAGTTCTGACCAGTACTGACCAGTACTGACCAGTACAGCCCAGCACTGACCAGTACTGACCGGTACTGACCAGTACAAACCAGTACTGGCCAGTATAAACCAGTACTGACCAGTACTGACCAGTACAGACCAGTACAAACCAGTACTGACCAGTACAAACCAGTACAGCCCAGTACTGACCAGTACAAACCAGTACTGGCCAGTACAAACCAGTACTGACCAGTACTGACCAGTACAAACCAGTACTGACCAGTACAAACCAGTACTGACCAGTACAAACCAGTACTGACCAGTACTGACCAGTACAAACCAGTACTGACCAGTACAAACCAGTACTGACCAGTACAGACCAGTACTGACCAGTACAGCCCAGTACTGACCAGTACAAACCAGTACAGCCCAGTACAAACCAGTACTGACCAGTACCGACCAGTACTGACCAGTACAGCCCAGCACTGACCAGTACTGACCGGTACT